CCCCAAAACCCCAAAACCCCAAAACCCCAAAACCCCAAAACCCCTATTTCAGATTTAGATTTGAAGGAATTATTAAAATAATTTGAATAAAGATGTTCGCTAACCCAATGAGGCAACAACCGGTTATGGTTCTTCAGAACAACACTAAGAGGGAACAAGGAAAGAAAGCCCAGCTTTCTAACATCAAGGCTGCTAGAGCTGTCGCTGATGTTGTCAGAACCACTCTTGGACCAAGCTCAATGCTCAAGATGCTTTTGGATCCGATGGGAGGTATTGTCATGACTAATGATGGAAATGCTATCCTGAGAGAAATCGATGTAGCCCACCCAGCAGCTAAGAGTATGATCGAGCTTGCTAGAGCCCAAGATGAAGAAGTTGGTGACGGAACCACCTCAGTCATTGTTCTTGCCGGGCAAATCCTTCAAGCAGCTGAGATATTTATCGAGAAGAGAGTGCATCCAACAGTTGTGGTAAACGCTTATTTCAAAGCTATGGAGGAAATCCTCAAAATTACTGAAGAGCTTGGAGTTGATATCGATGTTGATAGTGAAGAAGATATCAAGAAGATCGTCACTAGTTGTATTGGTACCAAGTTCTCTCACAAGTGGGGAGATCTCATTGTTGATCTCGCCATAAAGGCCACTAGGACTGTCGTCAGACAATCCGGCAAGGACGTTGAAATTGATTTGAAGAGATACGCCAAGGTTGAGAAAATCCCAGGAGGCACTATTGAAGAATGCACTGTCTTAGACGGTGTCATGTTCAATAAAGATATCACCCATGGAGAGATGAGAAGAAAGATCGAAAACCCAAGAATCGTCCTCCTTGATTGCCCACTTGAATATAAGAAGGGAGAGAGTATGACCAACATTGAAATGAGCAATGAAGAGGACTTCAAGAAGGCTCTTGAGTCTGAAGAGGAAGAAGTCAGAAAAATGTGCGAGCACATTTTGAGAGTCAAGCCAGACGTTGTAATCACTGAGAAAGGAATCAGCGATTTCTGTCAACATTTCCTTATGAAAGGAAACAACATCACTATGATCAGAAGAATTAGAAAGACTGATAATAACAGATTAGCTAGAGTTTGTGGAGCTACTATTGCTCACAGACCAGAGGAACTCCAAGAAGAAGATGTAGGTACTATGAGTGGACTCTTTGAGGTAAAGAAAATTGGAGATGATTACTTCACTTTCATCACTGAAAGTAAGAACCCAGAAGCCTGCTCTATTTTACTCAGAGGAGCTTCTAAGGATGTATTAAATGAAATTGAGAGAAACTTGCAAGATGCTATGCAGGTCGCTAGAAGTGTCATCATTAATCCTAAACTAGTTCCAGGAGGTGGAGCTCTTGAGATGGAATTAGCTAACAGACTTATTAAGCACTCCAAAGAAGTTGAAGGACTTCAGCAGTGGCCATTTAAGGCACTAGCTACTGCTTTGGAAGTTATCCCAAGAACTCTAGCACAAAACTGTGGAGGAAATGTTGTTCGTCTAATGACTGAGCTTAGAGCCAAGCATAGCAAAGAGGATGGAATCTGGTATGGAATTGATGGAAACAAAGGAACTATTGCCAACATGAAAGAAATTGATATTTGGGATCCAGTTGCTGTCAAACTTCAAACATACAAAACAGCTATTGAGTCTTCATGCATGCTTCTCAGAATTGATGATGTTGTTTCAGGAATGAAGAAAACAAAGAAGCAAGCTGCACCACAACCAGAAGAAGATCAACCAGGACCAGATGAAGGACACACCTTTGGAGATGAGAGAGATGGTTAAGTTCTAAATATTAATATAAACATATATTCTAAATCAATTGCTCTGTGAAGGAGAGGGGTTTTGGGGTTTTGGGGTTTTGGGGTTTTGGGG